AATACAAGATACACATGTGTTTCTGGTGTAAAGCCATACATGCAGTAGTCATGAATTGTAAACAAATGTGAGTTTATTCCACAATACAATATTATCTGTAAAACCATTTAAACAAATGAATATAAAAATACACATTTCTCTTTATAATTAATTCAACAACATTATGTACAGTCAGTACAATTGTTCAACATTGTTGTTGAACCAATATGAAAAATATCACACCGATAGAAAAAATGAGGATTTATTTTAAATCTACAAAAATCGAGAAGCAACCTGAGGAATACAACTGTTATAAAAATTTGGCACAACGCTTTAAAAAACAAGTAGCTACCATGAAAGGTCTGGAGATGTAAGTCAATTGGCCTCGAAAAAAGAAAACCAAACACTGATGTATCTGTTCCTGAGTTTGAATCTCCACATATTAGCAGCTAAGCTTGGTTCGGCCTTAAGAAAATAAGCAGTTGCCGTTTTATGTTCAGCAGAACTCTAAAAGGAGGATGTTAACAATATTTAAGAACTGGCTGTGAAACACTAAAACCAAGAGACACAAAAAACCTTCTCCTTAGCATCTGGATAGATCGCATGCATTTAATGGAGAATTAAATCCATACTTTTTAGTGCCTCGTAAAATATGCCATAATACTTAAATTCCTAGAGAGCAACCTCCAAGAAGACAGCATGCAATCATAATTCAAGTCTGATAAAATCCTCATAATACGTCTCAAACATTACTGCAGATGAGTCAATTAAATAACACCTTATTAAACATCATGCCTTCAAAACAAAAAGGGATTTCGATTTTAAAATTATCTTAAAGGCTTAAAGATAAACATAAAGTATATTCTGCAACACTATAAAACTATTTTATTTTAAAATGTACATACATTCTAGCTTTACAGCTGCTTTAAAAATACCTTATTTGTGTTTCAATTTATTCTAACAAATTAAAACTCTTTTAAGATCTGAATCAAGTTTATGATTCAACCGAAATTCTCCTAAATTTCCCAAAGATTAAGACGACTTATGGAGTGAACATAGAGAGAAAGCAAGATAAAAAAGGTACCAAAAACAAATTGAGTGTATTGTACTGTATAAACTATAGTAATTGTATATTTAGCGTTGTAGAAGTGTATGTCTGTGTACGTGTGTATGTTGTCCTCTATAGCAGCTTAAGCTTGAATCCAATAGACCCGGTTCTTCTCACTTCAAAGAGACCAACACGAGACCTGGCTTTGGCTCAGTGAACCTGAGAGATGAAGAGATAGGAGAAAAGGTGGGTGACGATGAACATGCTCTGCTTGTATGTTTTTTTGTGTGTTTGTGTGTATGTGTTTTCTGTGTGTGTGTGTACCTGTAGCTTTTGTTGGTGAGGTAGTCTATAACGGCAGGGCGGATGCGGGCCACGCCCCCCTGGCTGTGGTTCCCTCTTCCTGTGATGACAGAGAGCTGAGGTCGACACAGACCCTGCTCACAGTCTACTCAGAAAGAGGATCAAAGAAAAACAAACCAACACACACCATACAGTTAAGGGGAGAAGCTCGCACAAACTTTGACAAAGCGACGGGAACACGGACTTCTGCAAGTGTCCTTGATAAGATATTCTGATTATCAATGCTTGATAGTCATTTCTGTATTTTGCAACATCTATCATCTTGATGCTTAGCAAAATATGTTGCCAAATGTTCTGAAAAGAGAAGGGTTACCACTTCAGGACCGTGAGACTGATCAAAAGGAAATGCAGGAAAATGTTTTGGATTTTAGTGGCAGTGGTGGGCTATGACTTAAGTGGCATTAAATGTGTCATTCAACATGCATCTCCCCTCATTCCCTATCATGGGTCAACTTGGACTAACAAATAAAAAAGGTGTAAAATGCCCCTAAAACATTTACAAAAAATTAATCCTCCAATGACTATTATTGTTAAACATACAGCATAGGAGAGCCCTCATTACCTGTGGTTTTGTCCTGTAACACTTGGGCCAGATGCTGCAGGGCCTCATCGACATGCAGCCCGTGGAGGTCAAGGATGTTGCTGGGCAGCAGCGATGAGTTAACCTTCTCAAAAATCTGAACTGCTGCTCTGTGATTGGCCTCACGCATCTGCTGGCCATGCAGGTGTCCCTACAGGAGAGGTGATGCAAATGCATAAACTGTGAGTGGAGGATTACAAATAAAATAAGAGCTGCAAATTCAAAGAGACAATACAAGAAGATCTAAATGATAATGTTTCCCCCCACAGTGTTGGGCAAAAGACATTGCTTTACGAGTGAAAATATTATTGTAAGACATCCAGCGCCTCACCTGCTGAGCGTAAAATGAAGCAACTTGTTTCCTTCCTTGCTGGTAGGCCTCAGCAGCCTTGGAGAAACACTCGAGCTGTCGCTCCCGTTGTTGGCTGGCCTCGGCCCTGAAGTCCTGGTAGTCCGGGTCCTCCGTATCCTGATAGTCAAGTACGGTTGACTCCGGGGGCTTCTGCCTCTGGAAAATTCAAAAGGGAACATAGAGAAACACACAGCAGTTTAGCAAAGCCAGTAACCAGTAAGGACACATCTCTTCATCTCCATGCTGGTGTTTGCCAGTACCTTCTCCCGCTCCTTGCTGGCTGCTCTGAGGTGGTCGGACCGAGGAGGCTCGGGGGCAACTACTGTCTTTACGGGCCCTTCGTCTAGTAGAGAGCGAAGGAACAGCTCTGTCTGGATCAGGTTGTAACTATGCAAGAATAAACAAATAAACAGAGTAAGGAACTGTACTTTAACACATCACATACATGTTTAATCGATAATAGAGTCTCTGTCAAACAAATCAAACAAATACATTGTCAATGTAATGTTCTTACTTGTGGTCTCTGAAGATGTCCTGGAGGAAATGTCTGTCAATGGTGGGGAAGAGGGCGAACAGCTGCTTCTCTTTCAACATGGCAGCTCCATCACGCAGGTCCAGGTCTGCGCGGCCTTGTCTGGTCTTAGAGGAAGAGGTTTGGAAAGAGGTTAGGATGTGGGGAACAAACCAGACTAGAGAATGCAATCCCTGAAGACATTTCTAGTGGGAATGCTTTATGCTGAAAAGCTGACGCTAAACTGCTACGCTGAAATGTAATGTGTAAGAAGAAAGTGAAGAATTTAGATTGAAATTATATATGAACACTGGGGGCTTGAATGTGTGATGAGAGAAGAAAAGAAAGTAAAAAGGCTTGGAAAAGCAGCAGAATATTGGAACTGCAAACTTTTGAACTAACTTGATGGCGAATGATCTGTCGCCATGCCAACGGCATTTGATGACATCCCATAATACGCTTAGATGCGTTGATGGCTGGAAAGCGACATCGAGGTTACCTGTGCCCAGACCAGCAGGGTGTTAGAAGTGGACATATAGTGGAAGAGGTACGGAGTTGTCGAGATGCAGTTTAGATTATAGAAGTGGTATACGGCAAAGGTACCTTTGCGTAGGGAACGGTATTTTTGTCACCCGCCAAAAGAGTATTGAAGTTTACTTTTACGGAGGGTTTGCCGGGTTTTGAAGTGTCCAA